TGCGCTGCTTTTCGGTCTGGTTACTACCGTTTATGTCAGAACCGGTGCCATAAAGGCACCAGATACCGGTACCCATCCCTAATTAACACCTGCCGCAATTTGGTACCCTAGGAAAACTCATCATGGAAGCATATGATTATTTGCTCATGTCAAAGTTCAGAGCCAGAACAAATGAGCAAACACATCTTTAAATGCTGATCAGTTGAACCAAACTCTTGGATCACTAGCAGACGTTTGGGGGGGAAAGAGGTGCAGATTTCATTTAAAAAAAACCACAGTTTTCCAACTCTTAAACCCGGGATAAAATCAGTCCTGCAATCTGGCTTATTCATCCAAAACAAACCTTATAATCCAAAATAGGCAGTCTAAAGAAGCAAAAGCTGAAGACTTTGCTAAACATCAGAAAATATCTGCTGTCATTTCACTGTTTCTGTTCAGATACACAGCTGCATGTCAAAGCCTGAGCTACAGTTCTGCACGGAGAGTAATTAAGGAAGGCATGCGGTCTGTTTTATTGATAACATAACTCTAATTAGTTTCACTGGGACAGAATGTGTGTGCGAACAAATTTAAATATCTGGTAATACTAAATCCAGATAATAAGCGGTGCATTATAATAGTATAACAAAAGCTCCCAACAGGGCATGGCATGGTGCTCCATATAATAGATGTTGGTAATTGCAAGAAACAACAGGACCCGGGAGGATTTAGCTTAAAGCACATGACAGATTAGAGCCTTGGGTTTTGAGCCCATAAGTGGGGTGCGGGAGTGGATTATGCGTTATGAGAGCATGGGAGTGGAGTGAAGTATCATTGAACTGTGATTGAATATCCTTTTGAAAATGCCTACACAGTTTATGGTTTAAAAAAAGTGGATGCAGTGTAATTCTGGACCCTCCATATTTGGAGTGTGGAGCACAGTCTTGTGTTTGGAGAGACAACTTCCTGTTGCTTCACTCATATGCTTTGTTGTCCATGTGGGAGTGAGAAATAGCATCCAAAAATACAAAAATATGCTTGTGCATAAACTGGGACCAAACAGCTACTATTCATTGAACAATCTGGGCTTTCATTTTGTACCGAGGTTTGTTTATGTAAGTGGATGTTGTGCTTCCAAAAATGACCACATTTAAAGTGTATTGTAGTCATTTGCCATTCAAAGATTTGAGCATTTTGGGGAGCAGAAAGCAGTATTAGTGTTACAAATGCTATTATTTGTGTTTATTTAGTAGTTTAGTAGTAGGTTAGTAGGTAAAGCAGGTAAGTTTACAATTTGCAACATTGCATCTAAATGTTTGTGGCAAAAATCTGCATATCTAAGAGATAACAACCAGATGAGGGATTGCAAAGTGTGATCAGTAGATACTGTCAGTGCTGACATGGAACAACGTGACTCACAGGTATATCTGCATGACACTGCTGCCTGCAGCTTTACAACAGCTATCTACAGCAAAGAGAGGATGAATTTATTCCACGCACAGCAGACATGCTCTTTAATTTCCACGTTACTGTTTGTTTAGTAAAACTAGAGTTGATTTTAGAAGATGGGTAGCTCAGATCATCGCTGTATAGGTTTTTAAGCAGAGCAGATATTTGCGTCAAAGGTGACAAATGTTTAATTTCTTCTTCAGATAAGATTCATGCTATTTTGGACCACCCTGTCATTTTTTAGTGTAACAGGGCCTCATAGGCCTTTTTCTTACAGATTGCTTCAAGGCAAAGTGAAGTGAAGCTATGACTGTTGCTGGTTAAAAAGAGAAAAGGGTGTTCTGGCAGGTAGCTTTCTGCTCCGTTTGTGCTTGGATGAGGAGCTCTGTCTGAAAACAGGAAGTTGTTTTGTGTGCCGGGGAGAATAGAGCAACCATTTAATCATCTCATCCAGCAGCTCACAGTGCCTGTCTTATTGATGGTCTTGACAGTGGAGCCTTTTAACTGGCTTCTTCGGCTTATATAAAAGTCAGTAGATTGGGTAGAAAACACAGAAAAGCTTTGATGTAACCTTAAAGTCGTAAAGGTCATTTTTCAGGGTCATTCTGGGTCATATGAAAATATATATTGTATTCATGAATATACATAGATTAG